AAACTTGAAAAAACAACATAGTATAGCATGTCGTCCAAAATGATGAAAAAACGTCATAGTATAGCATGTCATCCAAAATCATGAAAAAAAGTCATAGTATAGCATGTCATCCAAAATGATGAAAAAAATGTCATAGTATAGCATGACGTCCAAAATGATGAAAAAAAAAGTCATAGTATAGTATGTCATCCAAAATGATGAAAAAAAAGTCATAGTATAGTATGTCATCCAAAATGATGAAAAAAACATCATAGTATAGGATGTCGTCCAAAAATGTGAAAAAAAAGTCATAGTATAGTATGTCGTCCAAAAACACGAAAAAACGTCATAGTATAGCATGTCGTCCAAAAACACGAAAAAAAGTCATAGTATAATATGTCGTCAAAGATCATGAAAAAACATCATAGTATAGCATGTCGTCCAAAAATATGCAAAAAACTCCACAGCTTAGCATGTCGTCCCAAAACATGAAAAAACATCTTAGTGTAGTATGTCGTCAAAAAATATGACAAAACATCATAGTATAGCATGTCATCCAACAATATGAAAAAAAGTCATAGTATAGCATGTCATCCAAAATGATGAAAAAAAATGTCATAGTATAGCATGTCGTCCAAAATGATGAAAAAAACGTCATAGTATAGCATGTTGTCCAAAAATGTGAAAAAAAAAGTCATAGTATAGTATGTCGTCCAAAAACACGAAAAAACGTCATAGTATAGTATGTCGTCAAAGATCATGAAAAAACATCATAGTATAGGATGTCGTCCAAAAATACGAGAAAAACGTCATGGTATAGCATGTTGTCCAAAATCATGAAAAAAAAGTCATAGTATAGCATGTTGTCCAAAATCATGAAAAAAAAGTCATAGTATAGCATGTCATCCAGAATCATGAAAAAAAGGTCATAGTATAGCATGTCGTCCAAAAATATAAAAAAAAAAAATCATAGTATAGCATGTCGTCCTGAAATATGAAAAAAACAACATAGTATAGCATGTCGTCCGAAATGATGAAAAAAAGTCATAGTATAGTATGTCATCCAAAAATCCTGAAAAAAACATCATAGTATAGCATGTCGTCCAAAAATATGAAAAAACAACATAGTATACATGTCGTCCAAAAATATGAAAAAACATCATAGTATAGTATGTCATCCAAAATCTTAAAAAAAGTCAAAATATAGTATTTCGTCAAAAAATCTGAATAAACATCATAGTATAGCATGTCGTCCCAAAAAATGAAAAAAACGTCATCGTATAGCATGTTGTCCAAAAACACGAAAAAACGTCATAGTATAGTATGTCGTCAAAGATCATGAAAAAACATCATAGTATAGCATGTCGTCCAAAAATACGACAAAAATGTCATAGTATAGCATGTTGTCCAAAATCATCAAAAAAAGTCATACTATAGTATGTCGTCCAAAAATCCTCAAAAAAAGTCATAGTATAGTATGTCGTCCGAAATCCTGAAAAAAACGACATAGTATAGTATATCGTCCAAAAATCCTGAAAAAAACTCATAGTATAGCATGTAGTCCAAAAATAATTAAAAAAGTCATAGTATAGCATGTCGTCCTAAAATATGAAAAAAAGGTCATAGTATAGCATGTCGTCCGAAATGATGAAAAAAAAGTCATAGTATAGCATGTCGTCCTGAAATATGAAAAAAACAATATAGTATATCATGTCGTCCGAAATGATGAAAAAAAGTCATAGTATAGCATGTCGTCCAAAAATGTGAAAAAAAAGTCATAGTATAGTATGTCATCCAAAATGATGTAATTCCAGGTTCATTCAAACATTTATTAATTCATCAATGGGAAAATTGACACGTTACAGCAGCTCAAGAGTCAGAAGCAACAGACAAAATGAAAAATAAAGAATGAGTGCTCAAGGAGGAAAGCAATATAAAAGCGATAGATAGAATAAAAACAAAATAAAATTTACATACACTATATGTACCTTTGAGTTACACAGACACCATTATGTCCATAACTGATAGTTGCAAAGGGTCATTGTAATATACACATGGTGTGAAATAATTGTACTGTAAAAATATACAAATATATAAATATTGTTGCACAGTGAGTGGTATAATAACTTTCATTATAATAAATAATATTAATAATTACACAGTATAAGTATGTGTAATGTGTTTATAACATATATGATCAAATATGCATATTTTTTATGTATAGTTCATAACACATACACATCAAATTTACAGTATATAATAGTGTATTTATTTTGTGTATATAGGACTAGCACTCTTAAGTGTGAGTCTTCTTGTGTCCTACAGCGTAGAAGACAGCAGATGCACACTGATAAAATGTCCTCAACAGTGTCCTGTACCCTCTAAAGGACCTCCGTCTCCTCAGCAAATGAAGACAACTTCAGCCCTTGTTGTACAGTGTTTGTGTTGTTTCACCAGTCAAGTGTAATGCTGAGGTGAGTGCCCAGGTATTGGTACGTTCCCACTATCTAAGTATCCAATCCCTGGATGTTCAGCGGTGTAGTCTGGGGTTGCTTCGTGTGGCCGTCTATCACCATCTCCTTTGTCTTGGTGGTGTTTAGGTGAACGTGGCTGAGCTCTCACCAGTTGACAAAGTCCTTGATGTCCTCCCTGTACTCCTGTCAGTTCCCCTGTGATACGTATCCAACGATGGCTGTATCATCAGAGAACTTCTGGAGGTGAGTGTCCGTTGTTATGTTTGAAGTCTGAAGGTAAACAAGAGGGCATAATGTCATAGTATAATATGCCATAAAAATGATCAATAGTATTCAATACAAATTATCAACAGTATAAAATAAAATTAAAAAAGTCATTTTCATTTAACAATATACTTTCAGCCATGTTTGTTGTTGCTGTGGGAAACAGTATGATATCAATATGTCAACACTCACAATATCCTAAGTATCATGATATGGATTTTATCATATATATTTTATTAAAAATTATTCCGGTATTATTATGAACAAGATGATGTGGCACAACCCTACTCCACAATTATTGTTGTTTTTATTGTTTGTTTTTTGGCTCTTTTCATAGTAAAGTTTGTTGATCCCTGAACTAACGATTAAAGAGAAATCTGGACCCCAGGGTCTAAAGCGGGATTCATAGCTGTGTGGCAGACCCTACGCTGTAGCCTACGCACATCGCCTACACCGCTGTGAGCATTTATACTTGTGCGGTGGTGTGTCTGTGTCCCTCTGCAGTTACACCTCCAACACTCTAGTTGGCAGTGGAGGTTTCTGTGAAGTGCTGTAAAGTTTAGTTGATTGAAAACACACATTAAACACACATTAAACATGGCTTAATAGAGACAATTTCACAGCATTCACAGACACTCTGGACACATTTTTCCCCACAAATACAACATGCTAATGTTTTTAGCACAAGCCTATGGCATTTTACATTGTAGAAATTAGCCTGGCGGCCGACAATCTTTTCCTCCTCTCATATGAAGCCAGGGACAACAGCAACATTTAACAAAGGTAACGTTACAAAGTTCGTCTACATTACAACTCACAAGATTCACCAACAAAACAACTGTCTTATACTAAACACGTTTTCCAAAGAGGCCTGGGCAATTGGAGTGTTGCCAGGCAATTTGCTGGATATCAAGGCGATTTTGAAAAAAACAACAACAAAAAAAACAGCGCTCTACCGTGCATTAAGAGATGTTTTTTGGGGAAATACATGACTGTCAGAGAAGCCCCGTTTACAACCAGACCTACAATCCATCTCCTCTCCTCTCCTCTCTCTCTCTTCTCAGTGGAGGGTGCCCTGTCAGCCCTGCGCTGACAGTGACAGGGCGCATCTCTTCGATCCGAAGTGACACTGCCCGTTTGCTCATGCTTCGGGGTCGTTCAATAGAGTAATTGCAAATAAATATTGTTTTAATGTGTAACTACTGAAATGTTCACAAGGGCTTTCATAAATTCCTACAATGTTGTGGCACTGCCGCCTTTGCAGGTTAAAAGTTAACGACAGCAACCTGAAGTGAGGAGGACCAACAGCAACAGCAACAGCGGTACCGATGTGATGCAAAATATTTAAGTAACGTCATTATAACACAAAAAATATAAAAATGCGGTGGCAGGCCAGACGTAACCAAGACTTAAAATGCTATTTTTGTGGAGGCTTTATTGTCTTCACAATTTATTGTTTCTTATCTGTGAAATTAAAGTAAAAAAAAAGCTTTGTTTCCACTGAGGGAAATGGTTTCAGCTTACAGAAACAGACAGGAGGTCTGCGTCGGCGTGACATATAGATATGACATGTTAGATTTCTGGGCAGGTGCACGTCAGGCTACGGTGTAGGGTACGGCGTAGACTTTACGTTGATGCAGAGCTTTCGCCGTAGGTACTCTGTTGACTCGACACAGAAGTATAATTCCCGCTTTAGGGACAGCTATTTATTTCTTTTTTTCTAATTGTCTTGTTTTAACTTTTCTCTTTTTATTAATTTCTTGATAATTTTGTGGGTCAGTTCTTCTTTGGTTGGTTCCCATGTTTTCGAAAGAAATCAAATCAGTTTGTTCAACTTTCAAAGGGTTAAACTGTGTGGGTGTTGAAGTAATGACCAAGGAGAAATATTAAAATCTTGGAGAGTCATGTTTTTTAGCTAATTATACACAAAAGAAAACATGTTTATTATATTATATTTCTGCTGATATATCCGCTTAAATCCTGCACACTGGAGCTTTAATGTCAGAGAAAATTCTTAAGATGAACTCCTCCTTTAACTTTCCCTCTGCTGTTTCCTTTAGTCAAACAGTCTGAAGACCTTATTTCATGTATTAGCCGGGGCCCTCTGTGTCCGGAGCCCCACCAAGTTGAAGTTCCTCCTTTTGTTATGTGTTGTGTATAAACGGGCCTCTGTCCCTTTAAACCGCAGCAGGAGGTGGTGCTCTCCGGCACATGAGAGGAGGAGGCGGGTGGAGGAGGGGGAGGGCTGCTGCTTTGTGCGCCACACACATGCAAAGTAAACGGACATTGGAGCACCAACAAGGGAACTGTCCTGCTGCAACTCTCCGCCGAGGAAACTAAACTGAGTCTGCCGTGACACGGAGGCTTTGCTCCTGCGTTTCTGTCCTCCTGTGTACGGAAAGCCGAGTGGAATATAACCTGAAAGCTCGCCTTTACTCGGAGAATAAAGAAAGGTAACTCTTCTAATTACTGTTTTAGAGTTGGCTGAGTCATAATGTCCTGTTGTATTATACTTATTTATGGTAGTTCTGCCAGTGACGACTTTTAGTAATGACTCAGCTGTAGTTAATGTGTCTTGTATAGTGTGTGGGCTCAGAGAACAGATGTAGGCTGAAGTAAAGCAAACGGTGTGAAATCTGCATCTCATTTGAATGTCAAACCTGCCTTTAGTCAATCAGCTCCAGGCTGTCCCATATGGAGGGACAACAATGAGCCCTCTGGCGTCCTCTGTGTTTTCCATCAGCCTGGTGAGGACTGCAAAGAGAAGGGCAAAGCACAACATTATCAGAGTCACCACTTCAGTTTGTCTTACTGGGTCAAAATGTGCTTTACAAGTTACTCTTTGTCTCCAAAAACTCAGGGAATCTCAACTTTAACTGCATCTGTTTAATCTGAGCTACATTTGGAGAAATAGTTTTTAGTGCATTCAGTTTGGATCATGTCCATGAAGTTGCGCAGAGCTCCCCAAACTTTTTTTTTCTTAGTATCATGGGATGTACAAATATAGAAGTATAACTGACCCCATTATATTTTGGCTTAGAGGCACCGTTTTGTAAGAAATCCTGCTTTGTATCATTATGAAATGACATAATTATCTGCTCTAGAGGCAAGGCTGTAATAAGCTGATGAAAGGAGTCATTAACTGGGTTAAACAACAAAGATGGTAAACTATACAGTTGGGATCCCCATTAGGAGCACCCAAGGGTCCACAGACCTCTGGACTCACACATTACAAATCACTAAGGGACTGTACTGTATTATCATAGTAGGAGGGGTAGCTGAGGTGTGACTTGTGTTTTTTTTTTTTGACTGTATAATTAAAATTGGATGACATGACAGCTTTCCAAAAGTAAAGCCAAAATATGTTGATAGCCCCCTGGTGGCTGGCTGCAGTATAGGTCATAAACCCCACCCCCTCTATGTTGGCGGATAGGACATGGGCTAAACTACAAGCTCAAAATACATGTCAAATAAAATGTTCCCAATGATGGTTTTAGTAATTTCAGGTAGCTCCTGGTTTGAAGTGGTAGTGGGGGGTTCAAACACCCCTGTGCGAAGTTTGTATGGGTTTTCTCATGGGTTCCTCCCACAGTCCAAAGACATGCAGGTTAATTGGTGACTCTACATTGTCCGTAGGTGTGAATGAGAGCATGAATGGTTGTCTGTCTCTATGTGATAGTCTGGCGAGTCCAGGATGTACCCTGCCTCTTGCCCAATGTCAGCTGGGATAGGCTCTAGCTCCCCCGCAACCCCCAACAGGATAAGCTGTTACGGAAAATGAATGAATAGGTGGTTTTTATCATGCTTGGGTACGTCCAAATGTTTATTTTTTGGTAGTTATTTGACGCTATTAAAGGGGGTTTGATGTCATGATTGACAGCTGTATGTGCTCCTGATCAATTGCTCTGCATGCGATTGGTTGGACATGTGAATAGGCGGGAATTCGATAACGCTTATACTGTTACTGCGTAGACCCCGACACCAAACATCAGTAGTACAAGATGACAGTGGCTGTATCAGTAATACTTTGGCTTGGCTTCTGTACAGTAGGATTGAATGGGGACCGGGCCCTCAGGAACGCCGCTCAGCCTTGCAGCAAATTTTTCCCAGTGGTCACTCGTGGTATTGCAGCAAAACAAAACAAAAAATCCCCTGCGGCCCAAAAAGCATTTACCCTATTGGCTGCCATTGTTATATATTTGTCTGTAGAATGGTTGAAGTCAATTATGGATCTTTCCATTCTGAGTTTTTGGTGTTTTGATATTTGCAAAACAGAGAAACATCCGTCCATCATCACAGTGTAAAGTCTATAAACTGAGCAGGAACTCGTGGGTGGAGCCAGTGTGAGAAACACACACATACTGCAAATTTAAACCCAGAAGGTGGAAAATTTGTTTGCCGCATGCGCCAGGTGAGCAACTCCATTTGAATGAATAGGCGCCATCCTGGTGTCTGATACCTAGTTATTCTTGAAATCTATGGTGGGGATACTTTGCCCATGTTTATATCCAGTCTATGACCATAACCATCCCACCATGAATAACGATATTTCATAGTTTCTGGTAATGATATATGGTGTGATTTTGGAGATTTAAACAAAAAAAAAAAAAAAACATGCCTTTTAAACCTACTTGTTGGTTTTGGTATTGGTAAATTGAAATAAATACAAAACACAGTTGTGTAAAGTTGAACGTCCCTCCCCTAAGCCAAATCAAAATAACATTACCCCCTCCCCAGTGCTTAAAAAATAATTTTAAGTGCCTCCCATGTTTTGCAACACCCCTTCCCCTCTTATAAATAACAAACAGTCCCTTGTAACTTTAGTTAGCAGATACGCAGTAGTGGGAACTAGGCTGCAGAGTCTGAAATAAGTGTCCCAAATAACTATTTCCAGCTACAGGACAGGATATGGTTTAATCAGAGCGGCCAGATGGACGTAAAAGCATCAGTTCTCTTCACTGAGAGTTACGTAACATTAATACTCTGCTATGGGAACACAACACACAGCAAACTCTCTGGGAATCTACCAAGAGCTCAACAAGCTGCACGGCCACTTTCACCTCATCCCTCACTCCCAAATTTGTCCACTTTCCCGCGTCATTAGTGAGTTGTTCCTGTTTGTGTTTACAGACCTGGCACTTGCCTCTCATGCCTCATCGTGCCTGATGAACTGGCTAATTTACTCCAGAATTTCCACTGCGACTGTATACCTGCCTGGCCTCATTCATCATGCTGCGATCGAAGGCCGTATAAGTGTGTGCTTGACTTTAACTACACTGACCATAAAGTGAGGAGGCCGTTTTATAACGCTCAGTTTAATTATTCCTCGCTCATCGTCAGTAATCAAGCCGTCTTGTTAAAGCGCCAGTCTGGACAAAAGCAGGAGGACATATTGACAAATGGGCTTGGCTTTAGTGTTGTCTTTGTATGGCTCTTGCCCTTTGACCTCCTCCTATACATGTGCGCACAAACACACAGCCACACCCTAACAACAGCCCTAAGGTCGGTCAGTATTTGTCATGTTGCATGATGAATCATTTACCAAACACTGTATTTGTTGCTCTGTGATAAGAGAAATTAGGTAACTGGAGAGATTTAGGTCAAGGTCAAATTCTGCCTGATCGCCACCGTGCCAGCAGCGCCGCTTTTCCAAGCGTCCCCTTGCCTTTCTGTCTTTCCCAGTCACTAAAGCACCGCATTATCACACACACTCCAGGCCTTTCAGCTCCTTATTGTACGACTTCTCCAGAGCTGCCAGGCAGATATCTCTCCATCAAGATCTATTGTGTGCGCTGCAGAGTCAGAGGGGAGGGGAGCATGTGTGTGTGTCATCTCTGACTGACTGTGCTTTTTTTTGTGCAACAGAGGCTCTGGAGAATACTGCCGCTGCGTAGTGAGGAAGCTGGCTACCTGCCCGACTCTGACTGCGCTGAGGTCATTACAGTTTTATACTGGAAAGAGGGTGTGCAGGAGTGGGGGCTGGGGAGAGGCAGTTAGACTCATTTTGCGCACTCATGAAAACACTACCTTCAGGCTGTTTCACAAGCAACTTAACTTCGTTAAAGTGGAGGGCAACCAATTTCTGTATGAATCAGCACTGTGTCAGTGCTTTATTTATGTGTCTGGGCTTCATATTATGTGGAGGTTAAATGTATGGAGTATAAACTTTTCACTTTATATGAGAGTAGAAATTAGTTAACTGGAGTCAGATGTGATAACTTGGAAGTATATTGTGTGTTCTCTTTGCTTCCCATACTTCAGGAAATGCCTATGTAAATTGTTTGCAGCCTCGGTAATCCACCCACCTTTATCCCATGCTGTATAGGAGGCCAGCAGGGGATGACTGGAGACTGTCCTGACATTTGGTCTTCTGGATTTTGTTGCAACTGCATGGCCTGGGTAGAAAGGGGAAAAAGAAAATATAGGTGAAAAATCTGTTTTTATTAAAGGTCCAGTGTGTAAGATTTAGGGGGATTTAGTGGCATCAAGCGAAGGGGATTGCAGACTGCAACCAGCTGAAACTTCTCCTGGTTAAAATTCCTTCAGTGTTCATTGTTCAGGAGGTTTTTACCAGGAGCTGAATTATCTACAGAGGTCTCTTCCTCTCCAAAACAAACTGACCTGGTGATCAAAACTGCTGAAAACACAGAGGGAGCTTTCAGACCTAGAGTTGTCTTGCTTTGGTCCGAATCAGGGACTTGGTTTGTTCTAAAGCTGCATAAGAGCTGGTTCGTGTTCTCACGGCAGCATTTACAAGAGGACCAGATCAAATGCCTTGTGTGAGAAAGCTGCTCTTGATTGGTCAGAATTTCCATGTGGGAAAAATCCAGGAAGTAAACAAAACGTTGAAGAAGAGTACACTTGCAAGATAAATGTGACACTTTCTAATGTCACAATGGAGGGACAACTACGCAGGTTGATTTTAGCGCTGCTCATCATGGACTATATTGCTGTCATTGTTCATTTTAGTCAAACCATACAGTTTGAAAACGAGGCGCGGCTCCAACTAGAAAACAATGTTTTGATGCATTGGATGTGCTGAATGTGCATATTAAGGCAGAGTTGGATCTGCTCTGTAGGCCCTCCCTATGTAGATATAAATGGCTCATTCTGAGGTAACGAAAACACAGCAATTCTTATTTTCAGGTGATTAAACCTTAAAGAAAACCTACTTATTATATTCCATTTCTGCCAGTACAGCCCCTAAACCCTACACACTGGACCTGTTGCCATTGTTGGCATGTTGTGAGACGGTTAGACATGATTTTTGATTCAAAAAGTGATTATGGTGTCTTCCAGAACAGGACAAAGAGGGCACTTTGCCCAGAGCAGTGGTCTTTTTTTTAGATGTCACTGTACATAAATAAACTTTGAGCTAAATTCAAAAGGGCAGCTGTAAAATGTAAGAACCCCGTCGCTTATTGAAATATTATTACATTATTGGAAGCATTTC